CCCTCCCCCTCCGCTTACCTGCTGCCTGCTTCCTGCTTATCAAATGTTCGTGGGAAGCAGGGGAGGGGGCGGAGCTGGGGCGGAGACTTTGGGGGAGGGGCGGGGCGTGGGCGGGGCTGGGGGCGGGGTGGGGCCCCGTGGAGTGTCCTCCTTTTGGACACTCCAAATATGGTAACCCTAGCTAACAATAGCAGTGTAGACGTTGCTGTTTGAGCTGAAGCCTGAATTCTGAGACTCTCCCCATTCACTGGGTATCAGAGCCATGGACTTCAAAAGAGCTCCATATGGTGCAAGTGTTCACTTGCATGGATCAGATGGCAGGACTAGGGCCTAATCATGCAGCACACTGGTCAGTTATTATTATCCGCAATTTTACATGTGAAGTAACAGGTAGGGGGGTCATTTTATTACCCAATACTACAAAGCGTCAGAGCCATGACTGGATTTTGGCTATTTCCTAGCTTCTGATCCTGTGAACAAGACTGTGATCCTGTCTCTCATTTCAGAAGATGTGAATTGGCATTATATGGACCCACCTGTAGCCCAGAAATAGCTTACGCTACCCAGCACAGTAAGCTATTCCCGTTTACTGCATCAGTCACAAAGACAAGTTCTATTTCTTTATTATGCTATCGTTACGGCATCAGGAATTTACCAAGTGTCATGTCCCACCTTTGTTCCATTGCATCCGGGGATACCTTGAAGTCCTGGTGGCCCATCTTGCCCTGGTAACCCCTTGAACATGGAAGGAAGGACAGCACAATTAGCTAAGGATGATCTGTGCAAAAAGAAAAAACAAGCGATAATCTTCTCAACTGTGAAGCCAAATCCTACTTACAGGAAGTCCTGGTGTTCCTGGAAATCCTGGCAGACCTGGAGGTCCCTGGAGGGGAAATAACCATATTTATTTGTAAGTGGGGTGGTCGGAGGGGGACTATTTGTTTTTAAAAAGAATTCCCATTATTTATAGCCTATTAATGTTTCTGTAAGCAAAGGACAATGAAAAAATCAGAACCACTCCTCGGTGAAAAATAGCCACATGCATGTACCATACTTTACAACATACTGGGGGGGGGGGGATTTAAAATATGGGGTTAATGTTTTATTAAATTTGTTTCAGAAAAAACATGAAACAAAACCACAAGAGAAAAGACAACAATTACAGATACATTAATGGGTATATACACTATACACACTAAGGACTAAGTCCTTAGATGTTGAAAATTGATGTGTCTCCACTGAAGCCAATGAAACTACATGATTTCCACCAGTGGAGGATCTGCCCATAAAGTACAGCAGACAGGTATAAAAGCAGAAGGATTCACAGACAAGGCAAGGAATCTATTTATGTATCAGAATAAAAGTCTCTCTCTTTCATAGTAAAGTTAACAGAGGGGCTGGATTTTGACCAATAAAGCTAGTTTGAGTCCTGTATAGCAGGATGGACTGAATAAGCCTTTATTGCTACATTTATTAAAAATATGACAAGAAATCCCATTGGGAAGAATAAATTTCTCTTTTGATTTGACTCTATATTTTTTACTCATCTAGCTTTCTGTAACCCACATTTCCATCAAAGTAATTCATGTATGTTATGTACTATATCCTGACATGGGGTGTCACTTACTCTGATTCCTTTGGGTCCGGTAGGCCCTGGAAGGCCATCATCACCCTGTAAAGAACATGGAGAAGGTAAAATTGATTATATCATGCATAGTGCATTGAAATACACAGTTAACCTACTAAAGTAAACCAAAAGCTTGAATAAAAAGTCAAAATATTTAAGACAAGGGTGCCTGGTACATCCTGTCAGCATCATGTAGTGTTGTTAGAAGTTGTATTATTTATTACCATCTGAAAGAAAGAGGTTTTCAAACCTCTTTCTTTAGGATTTACTGTTGAGTTGGGATTGAAAAGCATTTTGTGCAGTTAATAACCAAGGACTTATAGTTAACAGTTTTTGTTCATATAGTTTTATATCTGCCTGCATATTACTAATTTCCTTCAGCTTGCTATACTGTGCTCTAGTGGGTAAAAGATAATAGTAGATTGCTTGCAAATTTCATGCTCCTGTTTTTCTTTAATTTACATTCAGAGTGTTACAGGAATTCAGAGATATGGAATAGGACATCTGCCACAGAAGTGCATTAAAGAGAGTATAAATATACTTATATTTTCTAACCAAAACATCTGACCTCTTTTATTCCTCATTTGCTCTCTCCTTCCTTGCCATCCCTTGCTATATCTGATTCATTCTCTCCATCTCTAACATTTTTGCTTTTTTAATTTTCTGTTTACTGTTTCCTCTTCTTGAGTCCCTCCTTTGTGTGATGAAAAGCAATAACCTCTTTCCCGTGGTTTCTGAAATGTGACTGTTTTGTATAACGTAGGTGTTTACAGAATGAAGAGCCAGGCAAAGCTGACAAATTTATATAATGTATCTATTTATGTATGTAAAATAAAAAGCAGAGTTGGAGGTATTTCAACACTATACAGTCAGAATTAGAACATTTTAATGTTATTCAGGAGCAGACAGTTATAAATGGAGGCACTTCAGGAAATAAAGAGCATTCATCTCTTCTCTTCAATGTTGTAATATTGTTTTGGAGTCACACAAGGGGCTTGTTTTAATCCCTTACTTGCCTCCCCCAAAAACAATGACAGTAAGAAAACATTGTACTTCATGGCAAAATAGAAGTGGGACCATTCACACAGCTGGCAGACAGGACTTCGTCACTTCACTAAGTGATGGAATCACAGGACTGTGGTAGAGGGGATTTCAGTTATTTAGCAATGTGTGTTACATGGCCTAGTAAAGCTGCAACACAGCATGTCACTAAGCCTGATCTCTAACCCCTTCCCCTAGAGCAGTCAGTCTGGCCACTTTCACACCTAATGAAGGGGTGTGTGTATTAGTGATTGCTGTGCACACACACATGCACGAGTGCATAGGGGCTGGGACTAGGGGTGCTGCAGCATCCCCTGGCTTGAAGTGGTTTCCATCATATACAGCAGACGTGGGCAAACTACGGCCCACAGGACCATCCTGCCCGGCCCCTGAGCTCCTGGCTGGGGAGCCTAGTCCCTGGCCCCTCCCCTGCTATTCCCCCTCCCCCGCACTCTGGCCCGCCACTCCCACTGGGCAGCGTGGGGAGTGCAGCTGGCTCTGGCCGGGTGTTGCGGCTGCGAGCTCCTGCTGCTGGTAAGGGGGCAGGGAGCGGGGGGGGGGGGGAGGGTGGTTGGGTAAGGAAGCGGGAGGTCCTGGGGGGCAGTCAGGGAGGAGGGGGCGGTTGGATGGGGTGGAGATTCTGGGGGGGTGGTCAGGGGATGGGGAACAGGTAACAGTGGGAGTCCCGGGGGGCCTGTCAGGGGACGGGGATGTGGATAGGGGTCGGGAGGGCAGTCAGGGGACAGGGAGCAGGGGGGGTTGAATAAGGGGGTGAGATCTCAGGGGGCAGTTAGGGGCGGGGGGTCCCGGGAGGGCGTGGTCAGGGGATCTGGAGCAGAGGGCCGTTGGATAGGGGGTGGGAGTCCTGGGGGGTCTGTCAGGGAGTGTGGGTGTGGATAGGGGGCAGGGCAGTCAAGGGACAGGGGAGTTGGATAGGGGGCAAGGTCCTGGGGAGGTGGTTGGGGCGGGGGGTCCCGGGAGGGGGCAGTCAGGGGACAAGGAGCAGAGGGGGGTGGATGGGTTGGGGGTTCTGAGGGGGGTAGTCAGGGAGCAGGAAGTGGGAGGGGGCAGATAGGGGGCAGGGGCCAGGCTGTTTGGGGAGGCACAGCCTTCCCTACCCGGCCCTCCATACAGTTGCGCAACCCCGATGTGGCCCTCAGGCCAAAAAGTTTGCCCACCCCTGATATACAGGGTTTACAGTGTGGTTCAATGGCTCTCAGCACCCCCACTATACAAACTGTTCCAGAACTCCTGCACGAGTGAGGGGTAGAGGACTTATCTGAGGAGCACAAATATTTTCCCTATTGTTTATTTCCTTAAGTTATAGACTTCCGCAGCAGGACAGTAATGTAACTAATAGAGACAATGTAACAGGCTTCCAGGAGCTGTACCACTGAAACATTAACCCAATGACGCGCTCTGAATCAGGAGCTCTGGAGATGGCACTAATGCATTTTGTGTCAGTATATCAGGAAATCTAGACACTGCCTGCACCAGAGGTAACATTTATATAGTGTTTGGATACATTGTTACTTACCTTTATGCCTCTTGGGCCAGGAGGTCCCTCTGGTCCAGGAAACCCAGGTAAACCGGGCTGACCACCTAACCCTGGGAATCCCCTCTCGCCCTACAAACGAAAGCAGGGAAATGAAGTACTCTTACATGCAGCACATGATATGTATGGTAAGTTCTGACAACACAATGCTTCAGCTTGCTACAGAGAACTGGAAAGAAGTTAAGCAGCCAGAATGATTTAAAGCATATTAAGAAGGCAAATCTGAGTTCTTGATAAACATCACAACTGCTTAACAATGGGATTTCCAGGCAATAGAGTGTACAACACATTTCAATGATTCTGTATCAATTAAATGGATTAAGTGTGCTGTCTATCTAGTATTTAAACCAGTCTCGATTGGTCATTTGTCAAATTTTTCAAACAAGTACCTTTGGCTGTCTCCCAGGCACATGAAGCAGCTTCCTGTAAAAATTCACAAAGCTACCACTGTCCTTCTCCAAATCCCTCTTTTAAAAATCACTTCTGCTGTGACACCTATAAAAAAAACTCAACTAGGCAAGCTGCTGTGCTGTGACCCATACTCAGCATGCTGCACGTAATCTCGCTGTTACCTTGCGCTTCCTCAGTCTGTTGTATTCACCTGTTGCCTCATCTTATACTTTGACTGTAGGCTCTTGGGGGCAGGTCTCTTTTCTCATGTGTTTGTACAGTACTTAGTACAATGGGGTCCTGCTCTCTGACAGGGAGCCTGGGTGATTCCAATGCTGCCACCACAGGTAAACTGGAATTTGCCAGCATAATTTATTTGTACACAATTTTATCATTTTGAAACTTGAACATTTATTATAAGTTACATACACCCCTACATTAGAAGAACATTATGATTGCAAAGTCAAGTACTCAAAAGTTGAGAAATGCCAGAATTAAGGTTGCCTGTGCAATCTTAATTCAGCTCCTTTGTGTGTATGCATTAGGATAGTCTTTAATTACACACTCACATATTATTTTTATCACAAGACCCCTGCCTCCTTCGGTGCTCAGGATGGGCAGTGATCGCTTAATGAGCAGCTAGTCAGTATTTTGTTTTAGCCTCATTGTTCAATGTGTTGACCCTGGCCTTATATACTGCACACTATTCAAACCCTTTGCTGAATACAGAATAATTAATTTTGTCATGCATATTTCCCTGGCCCTCATTATGGACAGACAGCTTGACAAACATTAATGCATTTATTTTCTCAACACTCCCATGAGGCAAGGGACTATTATTACCTTCATTTTACAGATGGGGAATTGAGGCACAGAGAGTAAAGGCAAAAGGGTCCACTGATTTTGGATAACCAAGGTGGGACACAGCACCTGAGAAAGCAAGAGCTCCAGCCTCCAGAGGGAATTATGGTGTTTCAGTAGCAAGCGCAGGCTAATAGCTGAATTATAATTTTCAGTTTTTACAGGATTTGCAGATCAGCATCTGACCTTTTTCTGTCAACATGGCCTGGGGAATTTGAACCAATTCTCAGTCACTAATTAATGCCTGAGTGGAATACTCTCCAATGTGCGTTAGTGTTTGTATGTTATTTATTTAAAGGAAATTTCAAAAAAAATTGGGAACACTGGAAAAGCCTCATCTCCTCCCTCAGCACCCATTTACTGCCCCCTGCTGCTGCCTGAGCAGTAACATTATGACATCAAATATTATCGGCCACTCATCACTCTCTCCCAGCCATTCCTTTGCATCTTTGGGGAGTGTCACTAGTGCCATGGTTATCATGGTGATGACTGCTTCTGACAACTGATTGCTCAGACTCTCATAGCACTATTGCAAAAAAGGGTCCCAGGAGGGTCTGTAATGAGAGTAGACTGGAGCTGGTTAAACTCCTGCTGTGTTCCTTCATGTTTGTACTCAAGTAGGTTACACTTCCTTTTCTACGGGTAACTGTTAGAAAACAGATGACTACGGGGGAATATGCTTTGGGGAGTCTAGCCCACTGGCCCCACCCCTTCTGCCAGCGGCCCTCCTTTCCTCCGCCCCCCCACAACCAGAGAAGCCTCAAGGGCCCCCCCTGCAGCTGGAGACCCAAGCCACGCCAGTCCCCCCCCTCCGCCCCCCAACACCCAGTCCCCACCCAGTGGCTGGAGGAGCCCTGGCTAGCCCACTCCAGACTGCGCCGTCACCCCCCCAAGCACCGGGCCAGGGCCAGCCCCCCACCTCCCCCAAGGGCCATGTCGGTGGCCCGACACCCCTCCCCTCCCCCCCAGCTTCAGGGTAGAAGGGGGAAAGAGGGAGGGGCCTCCCAGGAGAAGATGGGCAGGGCCGGGGCTACAACCTGGGTCAGGGGAGGCTTAGTCTGCTCTGGACTTTAATACCTACTGCCCATGGGTATAAAATCATGAGTGGTGTGGAGAAAGTAAATGGGGATGTCTTAGTTACCTATTCCCATAACACAAGAACCAGGGGTCACCTAATGAAGTTAACAGGCAGCATGTTTAAAACAAACAAAAGGAAGTACTTCATACAGTGCACAGTCAACCTGTGGGACTTATTGCAATGGGATGTTGTGAAGGGCAAAAATGTAACTGGGTTCTAAAAAGAATTAGGTAAGTTTATGGAGGATAGGTCCTTCGCTCGCTATTAGCCAAGATGGGCAGGTATGTAATGCCAGGCGCTAGGTGTCCCTAAACTCTGACTGCCAGAAGCTGGAACTGGATCACAGCAGATGGACCACTTGATAATTGCCTTGTTCTGTTCATTCCCTCTAAAGCATCTGGCACTGGCCACTGTCAGAAGACAGTATACTTGTCTAGATAGTCCATGGGTCAGATGCAGTACAGCTATTCTTACTTTACCTTGCTCAAAAAGGGTTACATGAAAATAAGATTCAAAATTCCAGCTCCTTTTTTCCATGTATCGTGTTTAGATATTTCTCACAAGTTTGGGAAGCTATGACTTTCAGAATATTTGTTGTTGTTTTTTTAAAAAAGACAGGGGGAGTTACAGATAGTGATTCCAGTTTCTGTAAAAATTTAAAAACTGTAATTTAGAAGTTTCAATAAAAAGGTTTTTTTTTTAGGGCTGTCAAGCAATCAAAACGATTGTACTTAATTACACTGTTGAACAATAATAGAATACCATTTAAATATTTTTGGATGTTTTCTACATTTTCAAATACAGTATATTGATTTTAATTATAATATTGAATACAAAGTGTACAGTACTCAGTTTATTTTTTATTACATATATTTGCACTGTAAAAAAACAAAGTATTTTTAATTCACCTCATACAAGTACTGTAGTGCAATTTCTTTATCATGAAAGTTGAACTTACAAATGTAGAATTATGTACCAAAAAAACTGAATTCAAAAACAAAACAATGTAAAACTTTAGAGCCTACAAGTCCACTCGGTCCTATTTCTTGTTCAGCCAATCACTCAGACAAACAAGTTTGTTTACATTTGCAGGAGAGAATGCTGCCCACTTCTTGTTTACATTGTCACCTAAAAGTGAGAACAGGTGTTCGTTCGCATGGCACTACTATAGCTGGTGTTGCAAAATATTTACGTGCCAGATGCATTAAAGACTCATATGTCCCTTCATGCTTCAATCACCATTCCAGAGGACGTGTGATTAATCGACAGCCCTAGTTTTTTTTTTAAATACAAATTTAATTTAATTACTTCCAACATATTAATGAACACAGTGCCTAGAGGTAAAATGGAGCTTCACAAAGATAACAGTGGCAAAAAATAATATACATTGAAGACAACAAATGTGTAAGTGCTTTATTATTTAAACAGTATACTTATTAATAGGGGAAAAACTAAGGAAATTCAAAAACAAAGCTCCCATTTAACATTACTTAAGGTTGCTCTCAATCAGCCAACAAAAGCATAAAATATTAGGAAATACAAAGTTAAGGATTAAAGGGTTACCAAGTCAAGTGCCCAGGAAATGCTAGAATGAATGTTGCCACTGCAACCCTAAGTTGTCCCCTTGTGTGTATGCACAACTTAGAAAGCCACAGGACTCTGGTCTCATTCACTGCACAGGACAGATCTGCTGTGGGGTGAATTGAGGTTGCGTAGTAAAGAAAGCGGCTATCTGTGGGATCCTGCTTCATTTGTTGCAAAAGTTGGAGGGTGAATGAAACTAGGGACAGCAGGAAGATAAAAGGATGGTTTCACGGCTTAGGTGTTTGAATGTTGCCCTGGAGAATTAGATTCTATCCCTGCTTCTTCCACTGAGTTCCTATGTGATGTTGGGCAAGTCACTTCACTTGTGAAAAGTCTGGTGTGTCATTTCTGCATCTAATTAAAGGCTTACAGACTGGGGGCCAAATTAAGGTTGCACAGGCAACGTTCCTTCTGGCATTTCCTAACTTCAGTACGTGACTGTGTAACCTTTTAATCTTTAACTTTGTATTTCCTAAGTTTTTATGGTTTAGTTCATTGATAAGAGCAACCTTAACTCATGTTAAATGAAGTATTTTGTTTAGGAATAGGTTACACTACAAAACTTTTTATTGGCTAGTTCTCTTATTGCACACACCACCCAATAGCCCCCTTAGCTAAAACCCTGATGAAGACCTTAGGAAATTGAGATTAGATGTTTTTGTTGGTTTTTGCTACTGGTCCAGCAGTTTTACTCCATCAAGTTACAAATTATTCCTGTAACTTCTCCAAGTACTGTCAAGGGCTAGATGATCCAAAAAGTCTAATCCTGCCCATCCTAGGTTGGGATTTCTTTTCACTGTACATATGCTTTACCTAGCAGATTATGGAAGTTGCTAGTACTGCCCAATGTAACTGACCTTCCTTCTAAAAAATGGTTTCCTAGTAGTTAAAAATTAAATGTACCCTTTTGTTTCAGACCATTATTCCACTGTATCCACGGGTGTCAACTCCGTGGGTGCTCTGGGGCCCATTAGTTGTTTGGCAGTTTGCAGGAGGCGCTCTAGGAAGGTCAGAGAGCAGCAGGTGGGTGGGGGCCCTTGGAGAGGGGGTGGGAAGAGGTGGAGCGAGGGAGGAGCCATGGGGGAAGGGACGAAGTAGGGGCAAGGCCTCGGGCTGGAGCACCCACCTGGAAAAATAAAAGTCAGCGCCTGGGATTGAT